TATGCAAAGGGCATATGCAGACATAGATATGCTGGTAATAAGAAAGGATTAGAATGCAGTTACCAACATCCTAAAAAATGTTTAAATATGCTTAGGAGAGGTGAGTGTCGATTTGGATCAATATGTAGGTTTTTCCATCCTGACATGTGCCAAACCTCACTGGAGGACAGAAAATGCTATGACCTCAGCTGCCCACACTTTCACGTGAAAGGCACGGAACGCTACATAAAGAGAGGCAAGCAGGATAATGAATTTGGAGGAAACTCTATACATTTTTTATACCAGACCGAAAGAGAATTCAAAAGGAGGAGCATGGAGTGTATGGAACTGGATGCCAGATCCACTTGCATTCCAGAATTACAGATACAATTACACACCGAAAGGAAACTACAACTACGACAGACAACTGCCCTACAACAATCAGTACTGGTCAGAACAAACTCATTATGTCCACGCATAATGGGCTTGCCGAAAAAGTCTCCCAGTCAAACTATCACTAATAGTGTAACCTCATTCATCTTTGCCAACATACAAGGACTGAAAACAAGAACAAACAACAAAGTACAGTTCATAAATGGCCTCCTCACAGAGTCAAATGAAGTATTTGGAGCTTTCACAGAAACCCATGCAGGGGAATTGTTGGACAGTGAGATCTGGATTCCAGGTTATAACCTATACAGGTGTGAGAGGAAAATTAGGTCACATGGAGGAGTGGGTCTGTATATTAGGGAAGACCTTGTATGCTCGGAGCTCCTTAACGTTTCAAATGAAGTGTTAGAGGTACTGGGATTAAAAATAGAGAAAATAAATTTAGTGATTATTCTAATATACAAACCGCCAGATGCAACGGCTGAGGAATTCACAGAACAGATAAACAAAATAGAGAATAGCCTTGATAATTTGGAGAACCTGATACCTGATATTATCTTCCTAGGTGACTTCAACTTGCCTGGACTCAGGTGGAGAATAGCAAACAATAATATTATACCAGGAAATCTATCAGGACCTAACCAACCACAGATTAGAGAACTACTTACATTCTGTGACAAATTTTCACTCAATCAGCAGATATCGGAGCCAACGAGAAATAAAAATATTCTAGATCTGGTCTTTACGAACAATGAAGACATTATCAGAGACATTACGATATCAGATACCACATACTCAGATCACAAGCTCATTGAAGTGCAAACGACCATCAATACTCAGAATAGACCTAAAACGTTGATAAAGCGAGAGGGGCTATTCAGTAAATTCAATTTTAATAATAAAAGGATAGACTGGGAGATAATAAACAGAGAACTTACAAACATTCCATGGGAAACTGTTCTAAGTAATACAAGTCCTACAGAAGGAATAGAAAAACTGACTTCGGAAGTGTATCAAGTCTGTCTGAAACATGTTCCTTTGAGGAAAGCCAGAAAGAGATCCAACGTAGAAAGAGAACGCAGACGACACTATAAACGCAGGAAAAAAATAACGGAACTGCTTATGCAGACACGAATTTCCCGTCAAAGAAGGAATAATTTAAATAGGGAGTTTGAAGAAATCGAGCAGAAATTGAAACACTCATATGAAACTGAAGAAAGGCAGTTAGAACAGAAAGCAATTCAGGAAATAAAGAAAAATCCAAAATATTTCTTCAAATATGCGAAATCAAAAGCAAAACCACTGCCAGTATTGGACCTATTCGTACAAGTGAAGGTTCATACACGGAGGATGACAAAGAAATTAGTGAAATCCTAAAAAAGCAGTATGAGGACATGTTTAGCACTCCAATAAACAACATGAAAGTGGAAGATCCAGACAATTTCTTTATGCGGGACATTCAAACCCCTGTAAATATAACTGATATCAACACGAGCGCACTAAATTTTGAAAGAGAAATTGAAAACATGCCCATGCACTCGGCCCCAGGTCCAGACTCATAGAATTCAATATTTATAAAGAAATGCAAAGTTCCAGTAGCACAAGCACTCAGTATAGTGTGGAGGAAGAGCTTGGACACGGGGGAGATACCAGATGCACTTACAGTAGCAGACATAGCGCCTCTACACAAGGGAGGGAGCAAAGCATTGGCAAAGAATTATAGACCAGTTGCACTAACATCGCACATCATAAAAGTATTTGAGAGAGTGATTAGGAATCAGGTCACCAATTTCATGGAGACCAATGACCTTCACAACCCAGGCCAACATGGATTTCGAGCGGGAAGATCGTGCCTCTCACAGCTACTTGAGCACTACGACAAAGTCACTGAGGCATTAGAAGAAAAACAGAATGCTGATGTGATATACACGAACTTCGCAAAGGCTTTCGATAAATGTGACCATGGCGTGATAGCACACAAAATGAAGTCAATGGGAATAACCGGTAAAGTAGGACGCTGGATACTCAGTTTTCTGTCAAACAGGACTCAGCGAGTAACGGTCAACCATATAAAATCTAGTCCAAGTGCAGTTAAAAGCTCTGTACCTCAGGGTACAGTCCTTGCACCGCTGCTTTTCCTTATTCTCATAACAGATATAGACAAAAATACAAGTCACAGCTTCGTATCATCCTTTGCAGATGACACAAAAATCAGCACGAAAATTATCTCGGCTGAAGACATTGAAAAACTTCAAGCTGATATTAATAAAGTTTTTGACTGGGCATCAGAAAATAACATGATGTTTAACAGTGATAAATCCCAGGTGCTCAGGTACGGTAAAAATGAGGACCTTAAACATAATACAGAGTACAAAACACAATCAAATGTAAACATAGTAGGAAAACAGCATGTAAAGGATTTGGGAATAATAATGTCTGACGACCTAACGTTTAGGGAGCATAACCAAACAAATATTGCGACAGCCAGAAAAATGATAGGATGGATTACGAGAACTCTACAATCTCGTAATTCAATCACAATGGTTGTACAATCACAATGGTTGTACTCTTCAAATCACTTGTGTTGTCCCGTCTTGAGTACTGCTCAGTACTCACTTCCCCCTTCAGAGCAGGAGAGATTGCTGAAATAGAGGGAATACAGAGAACATATACGGCACGCATAGACGTGATAAAGCACCTAAATTATTGGGATCGTCTCAAAGCCCTCCAAATGTATTCACTAGAAAGAAGACGAGAGAGGTATCAAATAATATACACCTGGAAGATACTGGAGGGCCAAGTACCAAATCTACACAGTAAAATAACAACGTACTGGAGTGAACGATATGGAAGAAAATGCAGAATAGAACCAGTGAAGAGCAGAGGTGACATAGGCACAATCAGAGAACACTGTATAAACATCAGAGGTCCACGGTTGTTCAACACCCTCCCAGCAAGTATAAGAAATATTGCCGGAACAACCATGGACATTTTCAAGAGGAAACTAGATTTATTCCTCCAAGGAGTGCCGGACCAACCGGGCTGTGGTGGGTATGTGGCCTTGCGGGCCGCTCCAAGCAACAGCCTAGTGGACCAAACTCTCACAAGTCAAGCCTGGCCTCGGGCCGGGCTTGGGGAGTAGAAGAACTCCCAGAACCCCATCAACCAGGTATCAACCAGGTATGCCTAACCATCCTGTGAGATGGGAGTACAGTATTAGATGAACTTATAGCTACTTTTTTATCTACATTGTCTAATCATCCATATAGAACAGGGTAGCAGCACATTGCTGTGTATATCTAAGCTTCTTAATACTGTACAAAAATATCAGTAATAAAGATTTAAAATTATAGTTTGTATTATTACCAATATTATGCTTATTAAATCATGTTAACCATGGATCATTAAGATCTCGTGTTGTTATGTAATACAGTAGTCATATTTCTTTTGAGTCATTCATTAAATTGTGCATTATGTCTCAATTTTTCACTTTGGATATACTGTATAGTACAAAAAGATAGGATAAAAATAGACCAGTAATATTTCTTTCAGTATATTTTTTATTTAAATAACTGCATCAATATTTTTACAGCTTTGATATCCCCAGTCAAACTTAATTTGTGTAAACACTGTGCAATTCAAGGGACCTAGTCTATGTAACTCACTCCCTAAAGAGCTGAAAAGTAAGTAATTATCAAAAGAAGGCACCAAACCAGGAAGGCTATGTAATGAGTTGAAAAGCTGTCCAACTTCTGCCTCATTCAAAAGCAAAACCAAAAAGTACCTAATTTCATCTTCATAGTTTCCTACCTTGTGCTTTATTCAAAATTCTATATTTGCCTTTTTATTCCCATATTTGCCTTCCTATATTTGACTATATTTATTCTATATTTGCCTCATTGAAAACAAAAAGTGCTTAATTTCTTCTTCATAGTTTCCTACCTTGTGCTTTAAAATTGCACTGTATCTAGTGCTACCCAATTCCCAAATTTTTATGTACCTAATCCAAACAACTTTACCATTGTGATCATTGCTGTCTTCTTATATGTGTATGCTATCAAAATGCTGTATTGTGCCTATTAATCTTTGTTAAATTGCCAATCAAGCTCTCAATGCAATCAATCAAAGCTACTGATGTGCTTTAATATACCTACTAATCTCTCTCATCTCATTTTTTTCTTGCAATGTACCTGTTATCATTTTATAAATTTTGCTAAAATTTACTTACTTAAAATTATCTGTTATATTAAGGAAACTGTTTCCTGCCCGAAACGCTGCGCGTACTAGTGGCTTTACAAGAATGTAAACACCATGCTATGTATCCTCACAAACCCAATGTACCATTTTGTATATATATAAATAAATAAATAAATAAATTACTTATTGTTACACACAGCCAAATTGTGTAACAGGAAGAGGTCTTGGACCCCTACTTCCCCCCCTCTCTTTTTTTTAACAGGTCATAATAGTCCAGTCATAATTATAGATTTAAGTATTCAATGAGAGAAGTTTTTGAAGTTTTTACCCTTCTTACCTAACATCATTTGTGCAGTGGGGCATTTGGTGATAGTAAATGCTCCCACCAGCCACCTTTTCTCTTATTTCATGTTCACCAGTGTTTATTTACTTAATAACTACTGGTATAATATCTTGCTATTATAAAACTAATTCTAATATCGTGAAAGACAAATTTACTACAAGTTTCAAGCAGAGAATGCATATATATAACTAACACGAAGGACTCCTCTTCACGAGATTTGCCAACTAAAATCTTTTGTTTACATAACAATCGCTCCTCCGTGTTGTGTAGAAGAGAAAAATCGAGTTATATCCAGTTTACGTAAAGCTACGAGTGGTCGACAGCACTCTTAGCCGACGGAGCAAACTTACTAAGGTTTTCCTTCTTAGTGTGCCTACCCGAATACCAACGTAACCGTAAAAGGCAATAAGAAGAAAAACATTAGTAAGCTGCTTCGTGAATCTGGTCCCTGAAAGGTAGGTGAATCAAAACACACTTCTGTCTGGGTTAACCAGTGCAATCTACATCTCAAAAGATCAAACTAACTCCACTAGAAAGAAACCAAACAAGCAACCCTTCATGCAACTAGCACTGCTGCTCTTTAGAGCTACCCCCGAAGGAGCCAACTCACGGGAGCCAGCAGCCCACCACTCCAGTTCTTGAACGATGAAAAACTGCTAACAGGAGGGATGTAGGGTGTCAGAGAGCCTTAGAGGCTCGCCCAGAAAATGGCATTTCATTACATTCAACACTAGTTTTCAAAGGGGAGCTTTGTCAACTCCCAGAAGCTAACTACCCAAAGATAAGTAAAAGGAGGGATTTACCCAGAAGGCGGCAGCACCGCAGGTCTCAAGACACAGAAGAGACAGACATGCGCCCCAAAGCTATACACGGCCGAGAAGGAACCAGAATGTTCACTAGATATCTGGCGGCCAGGACCCTGTTCAACCTTCAAAACCCCCACACCCGAATTTCTACCCCAAAATATGTTGCCAAAAACTGCTGAGAGCAGCATACTTCCGAACGTCATGGGCACGATGGTAGATCGCAGGCTAGCAGGACTTAACACTGCAGACAACCCGAGAGACAAGAATCCTGAAACAGGGAAACCAGATCCACCCAAAGAGCGTCCAACATCATATATAAATATCTACATTTTTCTTCACCATAATGAGCCACTAAGCTGATATGGTGAGTCCAAACAATAATAATGGCCGCCACACACACTCAGCTAACGACACCACCTCACTGGCAAGATCCCTCCTCCCAGCATACTATGCTCATCGCTAATTCCCACCACAATGAGGCTATGATCAGAATCCTGGTCACTAAATTCTGTAAATGAATAATTTTCCACAAGTTTATTTTGTAGAAGAACATGAGAAGTTGTTTCAGGATTCTTAGATGGACCAAACAATGGCAGTGTGCTGTGAACATCTTGAACAGCATTGTGTTCACTGACATCTGAACATTGTACAGTCTTCACTAAATAACAGCAGTTACATATATACATGATTTTGACATTTTTAAGCGATGCTGTGGTCACAAGCTGAACAGCAGTGCTGTTAGCTCATGCTGAATGCACCAGACTTGGTTGCTCACTCACTAGAGTACAGAGGCCTTCACACCCAGGAATGGTATCTACAATATTTTTTTTTAAATGGCTTCTGTTTACTGGAACCCCTTGTGAAGCTGATGTGAGCACTGTGTAGGCATGGGACTTTTAAATCTTACACCGTACTTTAAAAAGTACATATACAAAGTGCGCCTCACAGATAGACCAAAATTGTTCATATACAATTAGCGCCGGTCAAGGGCTAGAACAGCATGCATCATGATGATATTTAATGCAGAGAATCACAAGATGGCGGAATACCAGTTTTTCATTTAAGTTACACAAGTAAGTAAGTAATTTAACTAAGTAAATTTTATTTTCATTCTGGGGTAATCAAACACCTAAAGGTACTAATGAAGTTTTGGAGGCTCATGAGATACTAATGTAACACTAATGACATTCAATCTGATTCTTTTACCATTTTCTTAACTTAAATACAGATTATATATATGTACACTTGTAGCTACTGTTTGTACAGTAGTGTGACTCAAGGTTTCAAAATCGGCTTGATTGCAAATACTGCTGCATCAACATTTTCTTTTCACATGTATAATTACATGTGCACTTTCAATGCACATGCACATGCACAATGTTGTTATTTCAATATATGCCTATATATAACCCAATGTCATTTTCATTTCTTTACATATGTGTGGGTTGGGTTATTTGTTTAGGCCACAGTACTGTGGCTTACTATCAGTAATACATGCCTAATTTCAAGTCTGCTTCCAACAATTGTCCAGAATTGTAAAAATTGTGTGATTCCAGAACTGATGACAGATGATTATTGATAAACAAGCATTTAGAAAAATAGACAATATACATAATCAAGCTGTTACCTTAGTACAATACAAACATCAGCTTCCAAAATTATCCCCTCAAAGAAAATTGGACCAAGTCAAGAAAATTGGTCATATATAAAATATAAAAAAATATTTACATTAACTTGTTACACAATACCATAAACGTGCATAAAACTATTATGTATTAGTTTATGGTGGAGGTAATGAGTGTAGTGGTTCAATATAAGTGTCATTATTTGAGCACTCTTCCTCATTTTGTTTATCCTTTGTGAACATTTGATTTAATTTGATGACTCCAAACCCCCATGGTAAGAGAGAATCACAGTTGCAATGATTAAAACTTATGATTTCATAATATACAAACTTATTTACCATCAACTTCATTAACAATGAGCATTGAGCTTTCCGCTTCTACATTTTCAACTGCAGCTTCTTCATCAGAGTCATAGCGTGCTCCTGTATCTGGAGGCAACTCGTGAGTTTCCATGATACCCGGGGCATCACCAAGCCCAGCAATTGCCTGGATGTTTGAGCATACATCAGAATACAACTGATGTACCAAACTGCTCATGTGTGTAACATCTTTTACTATCACGGGCTTTTCAGGCGGAAGATGCGTGTAGAGTCGTTCAGTAGGTGTAAGTTCCCAGGGTGCCAAATATAACTGTAGTGGTCGCTTTGTAAGCAAGGAAAATGCTGGCTGAAGTTCATAACAGTTCTTAAAGAGTGAAACACGTGCAAATATATAAAGGCCAAGCCTAGCACGTGACATGGCTACTACAAGTCGTCTCACGTCCCTAAGGTGGCCTACAGCCCGTGTCCTAACAAGTGATAGCAGGATGTAGTCATTTTGTTGCCCCTGGTACTTATCCACAGTACTGATCTTGTGAGGTCGACCAAAGAGTGGGTTTCGGGCACATCTCTGCTCAACTACATCCCGTAGCAACTCCTTTTGGCCATTGTAAGTTGTCAACAAAGATATTTTTGAAGCTGGATATCCAATTAACCGCATGTACATATACAGGTGAACTACATATTCTGCTTCAGCCAAATTCTGGTAGAAATATTTCCGTGGTTCTGACTCTCCACGTCCTTCAAGGTCATCAACATTAATGAGCTGGTACTCATAAAATATTCCTGCATTAGCTACGCGATACTCAGGCCAGGATATTACATGAGGCAAGTCACCCAAATTTTTATATCGCCAATTGTACAGGGCACAAATAGAGGGACGAGCACGTCCCTGAGCATCTAGCTGAACGGTTGGAACACCCAACCGTACAAATCGGGTAAACAAGCTCTGCTCACAGTTACTATACTTTTGGAATGCCATATTCTTGATAACTGGTGGTAATTGATGGTGGTCACCAATCATGACCCATCGCTTAAGTCGATTACGTCCATCCTCAGGATTTTGTAGAAGTAATGGAATAAAAGTTTCAATCTCTAAAATCTGGGCACTTTCTTCCATTAAAATGTTATCAAATTGAAAGCCTAAATCTACAAGTTCCCGGCGCTTGAGGGCAGCATGAGTACAGGTCATAGCAATAATCTTTGCTTCCTTCACAAGCAAATATCTTGTACGATCAAGGCCACTCCTTAACATTTCAAATGCACGAAACTCTTTTAACTGTATGAATATATTCTCCAGATATCGGAAGCAACCTTCAGCAATTTCCATGTCTTCTTCATAGCATTTTCCTTTGAATAATGGCTGAGGTGCATTACTGAAGAAAACATGGAAAGGAAACAAGTCATTTATTTGCTGAACATTAACTGACTTGCCAGGAGTAGCAGCAACCTGACTGATGTAACGTTCCCACCGAGCAAGGACATGTTGCAGAAAAAAATAACCAGCAGTTTCACAAGAAGCTCCCATCTCACCAGCAACACCTAATGACTCCTTGAGGCGTGTTACTTCATCCAGTAACTCCAGTCTTTTACTCAGAACATAGTTAACACGACCATACCTACTGAAATCTTTCTCTGTTTCTAAAGCCTCTTCACCGTGACCTAAACGCAAAAGATGTCGCTCATCAACATCCAGTGCAATGACTTTCTCAAAAAGCTGGTTAAGAGCCTGATTAGAATGCGTAACAACAAGAGTGCGCTCAGCTGGGTTGTTGTGATATATGTTAGAAATGATCTGCACAGCAACATCGGTCTTACCAGTACCTGGAGGTCCCACAACCATTGTTAGGCCAGGTTGCATACCAGAACGTATAGCTTCCACTTGAGTGGGTGTGAACTGCACTCGATTCTTACGTGGTACAGTGTATGGATATGGACCACGACTTTTTACAACATATGGTTCAACATGAATAACTTTGGATACTTTATTTTCTTCTGCTTCAGCTGGTCGTTTAGTTGTTTTTTGATCCTCAAATGTTAGTTTAAAAGGTGGTTGCATGTTAGCCTTAGGAGTATGGTTAATGGTATAGTCTGGGAAACTCTTTTTTAGGTGATCACAATTCAGAAAAGTGTCGTTAAAATCTAACGTGGACAAAGCATTTTCTCTGTGTGAATAATGAGCAGCTCCTGGGTCACCATACCCAAGAATGATATCCAACAGCCAGTCAGGTACAACACACCTAGTATTCATCAGGTCACGGATAGTTTCTAAGACAGCTTTAAAATTATTTTCCTTGGGCTTTCTTCTCATTAAAACATTGAAAGTTTCATACACATCTTCACTGCCATCATTGGATTTGATGTTGTCCATGTCAATTTTATACTGATTACAGTCGAGCCAAACACGAAAAGTTCTGGTCTCCCCCTTCAGCTCTGGTTTGGGTTCGGGTCCCTCTTCAATAACTCTACCATTTTCATCTAGCATGCCCTCCACTTCACACCCTCGTATATACCTGATACCCCATTCATCTGGGAAATATCCCTCAGGATTAGGGTATTCTTTTGGATGAATGATTGAAAGCAGTAAACATACATCATGCTTTCTCAATGCTTCCCACTCACTCTTTATCTCTCTTCTAACACTTAAATTTATTGTGATGTCTGCTCGAACTCTTGATGGTTTATCTTCCCCAACATTAGGCTTAGCCACCTCACATACAGCAAAATTTGCAATAGGCTGTGCCATACGTGCCCATCCTCTAAAAATGACACTGCCATTTTCTGATGACCATGGGTTCAATCTCATTACAATATCTTCTATATCCTGACGAATTTCGTAAGTTGATTCTAATCGAAAGAGGTCAAAGTTTCTCAACAGATAATCATGCAAGGTGAGGAATTGCAGATTTAACTTTGGTAATGCCAGACAGGCATCACCAGAAAAATACTCTGATGGGACTATGTTATCATCCCAAATTATCTGCTCAGTAGGATACAATGGCATGCGATTAATTGCTTCTAACTGTGAAATGCGACGCTGGTACTTCCATATAATGGATTCTACAAGATATTTTCTGTTGCATTCATTTTCATCTTCTTTAGGAAGCAGATGAAGTAACTTACAGAGATTTTGCAAATCACCATCTTCCAACTGTTCTACATACTGTCTTAATGTTTCTGTGTCGTCAACTGCAGCTACACTTGAAAAGCTGAATTGTGTTAACTGAGAAAAATTTCTGAAAGTAATGCTCTGCATTTGCTTCACCTTTTTATAGTGAATTTTCATCACATCTAAGTCTGAGAGAGGCTGACCTGTATTATCATTAATCTCAAACTGACCAAAAACTTTTAAAATGAACAGTAATTGAGAAAACAGCTTTCCCTCCTCCCTAGATGCAAGTGTGGATAATTGACACTTGACAAGTAGATTGCAAGAATGCAGAAGAGTATTAAAAAATCTCCGTGTGGGTAACTGAGACTCAAGGTCAATCATGAGTTCAAGGAACCTTTCACAATAATGAACAACATCCTCCTTTAATTCTTCATTTCCTGCCGGGATTGCCGACAACTTTTTCATGAATTGCTGCATGAGGGAATACAAAAATTTGGTATCAAAATCAAAATTATCAAGCTCTATGCCTTGCAGTTTCTTTTTGTGTCGTGCAGTTCTCTTTAATGCCTTAGACCAGTTAGGAAATTCATTGAGAACCGATTGTAGCTGACCTTCAGATAGACATTCTAAGATGTTGTAAGATACAGTATGACTAATGCCATTGCGTATGAGATCTGTTTCAATACTGTTGTAGAGATGATTAAGAAACACTATCATATGAGTTTGTTCTTTTTGTGAAAATTTCTCTGTTGTATCCAGACATGCTGTCATTAGATGCCGCAGGAAGTCAGAAATACTGTAACCCCGCGATTATCCGGGATTCAAACATCCGGAAAAACACTAAAAACGCCCTTATACGCCCTTATACAGCCAAAATCGCGATCGGATAAAGTTATCACAATATCCGGCCAAAATAGCCACAGGGACCGGATTAAAGCAGGTTTAGTCGGATAAAATGTTGGGGCCCGGTTAATTTTCTGCAGAAATTACACTATCCGGTCAGTCGCCCGGATAATCGTGCCTTTGTCCGTACAGTATATGAAAACATGAGGCGGGCCATACGGTATTAATCCCGTCTGCCCGAGACTCGAGGCGCATGGTGTAGGTGGGGGTGGGGTGGGTGGGTGGTGTCGGGAGAGAGGGGAGCGTTGGGAGGGACCACCTGGGGGGATTAGGGGGGGGGGGGGATGGGGAGTGGCCTATACACTACAGTACAGTAATTACTATCAATTTTAGAACAATTCATCATAGCCAAAATCAAAAGAAATACTAGTAATTATGTAATAAAAAATTCCATACAAGTTTCCTAAAAACAATTTGCACAGGCTGAAGTTTCCTTCAAAAATATATTTTTTTTTTTTTCCTCCTGGCGGCCTACGTAACGTGCCTCCTCCCTGCCCCGACTGGACCCGTCCAGGCCTGGTCAAGCCATGTGCTCTCTAGCCTCGTGTTACACCACAGTGCCGCGCCATTAGTGAAATATTTTTTTAAATAACTTTTTTATTTTCATAGTAACTTTGAACATTTTTGGCCAAGACTATGTCTGGTAGCAGCATGAATCGTTCTGGAGGTGGTAAGAGGAAGAAGGTTGTCCTAACACTTAAGGACAAGCTACGTGTTATACAACTTTGTGAACATGGCCGGTCGACCTCAAGTGTTGCCAAGGAATATAATATAGGCACTAGTACTGTTTCTGATATAAGGAAACAAAAAGAGAAACTTATGCAATTCATTTCAACCTGTGAAAGTGAAGGTGCAAGCACTAGCAGAGGTTGTGGTAGAAAAACTATGAAAACTTCGACGCATGTGCAGTTGGATGAGGCTGTGTACAAGTGGTTTGCTCAGCACCGCACAGCTGGCGTGACAATTCGCGGCCCAGAAATACAAAATGCTGCAAGCAGATTTGCTGAAAGCCTTGGAATAAAGAATTTCGAAGCGAGTGAAGGGTGGGTTGCAAGGTTCAAGGGTAGGCACAATATTGTGAAGAGGAAAATTGTCGGTGAAAAACTGAGTGCAGATGAAAGCAGTGTAGAACCATTTAAACATAAATTACGAGAATATATTGTGGCAAATAATATTTATTCGTATCAAATTTATAATGCAGATGAAACTGGGTTGTATTGGAGGAGTTTACCAGAAAAAACTCTAGCAATGAGGAGTGAGGGTTGTGTGCCAGGACGTAAGGTTTGCAAGGACAGGCTCTCAGCCATGATGTGTGCGAATGCCGACGGCACAGACAGAATCACGTGTGCAATTGTTGGCAAATCTAAGAAACCAAGAGCCTTGCAACATTGCATGGACAGACTGCCAGTGAAATATTATAACTCAAAAAATGCATGGTTTACACAGGAGATCTTTCTTTCCTGGTTTCATGACGTGTTCTGCAGGGAAGTTCGTGCCTATCAAATTAAGAAACTCAAAATAAGGCCAAGCGAAGTTCGGGCTTTACTGTTGCTTGATAATGCGCCTGCCCACCCCAGAATTGACACGTTAACCTCACATGATGGCAAGATAACGTGTATGGCACTTCCTCCTAACACAACCTCTCTCATTCAGCCTATGGATCAGGGAGTTATCTGTGCTACGAAGAGGTTGTACACCAAAAAAATGCTAAACGAAGTTTTGGTGGTTTTGCCTCTTCCGGAAGATATTGAACTCGGTGTGGATAACAGGGCTAAAAAAAACCTTCAGAATTTGAAGAACTATACAATCAAGGAAGCCGTCTATAACTGGGCCAAGGTATGGAGTGAATTAAAGGAATCGACTTTGAAAAATTCCTGGAAAAAACTCCTCACGTCTACGGTCAGAAATGAGGAGGATGAAGAAATGGATTTTGAAGGATTTACAGATGAAATCCATGGAATGTTTAGAAATGCCGGCGAAAACTTAGAAAGACAGGATGTGGTTGATTGGCTTGAACAAGATGCCAATGATCCAGGATATGGTGTGATGAGTGAAGACGAGATTCTACAGTCTGTTACTGGTGAGGTGGACGAAGAGGATGAAGAAGGCAGTGAAGAACCAACACCAATGACCACGAAATACAGTGTACTCATGACGTATGTTGACGGATTAATAAATTTTTCATCAAATTGTGCTCATCCAGAGGTTGGAAACATGTATCCGTACCTTAGGCGAACAAAAGAGCTGATCATACAACTGGCCAGTGAACACAGAAGGCAAGCAACACTTGATTCATATATGGTACGAAAATCAAACCAAGCGCCTTCAACAAGTGAGGCGGCACGCGCAACCCAAGCGCCTTCAACAAGTGAGGCGGCACGCGCAACCCAAGCGCCTTCAACAAGTGAGGCGGCACACGCAACCCAAGTGCCTTCAACCAGTGAGGCATCCTCAGCAGACAGTGAGAACTAACTTTGCCTAATGAACTGTACAGTAATTTTAAGTGTTAATTTTAGTGTTGTGTTACTATAAGTTACGTAAATTGTCAAGAATTTTTAACTTCAAGATGTGTCATCAATCAAGAAGACGAACAACAAAAAGGTAAGTTGAGGTTTCTAGTTGAATATTTAATAATTATATGTGGCATGTCTATTCAAATTATGTTATTTGTAGTATAAAAATAGTTGGAAATGGTTAGTTTTGGACTCGTAGGTGAAAAAGTACCATTATCCGAAAAACGTGCTAATCCGGCTGGGGGTCCTTCCCATATAGTCCGGATGATCGAGTGGAGACAGTATCCCAAGACGACGCCAAGATGGCGCCGACTCCTACGTTCTCGCGCCAAAATGTTATGACGTCAGTGACACCAGACTGGCCAAGAACGGTGACGCGGTACAGGGAGCCAATGAGAAACGCCCCTGGCAAGTATGACGTCACGAGTGAAAGGGGGTCCAGGCGGCGCGCCCCGTGGCGCCAGGAATTAGATACGACACGTCATGAAGGGCGGACGTGCGATAGGAGGTCCTGTCAGTCTGACAGTTTTTGCCCCTCTCCGGTGAATATACGCATCACCAGTGGTCTGCGAGCATCCTGTGAGGTCTTCCTGAACTCCGTGAGGTGGACAGAAGAAGGAATTGATGGGAAACGAGCAACAAGTGGTCCAGTGACAGGTGCTTAGCAAGAGTGGAGCCTGGGCAGTGACGTCTGGGACGACTGTACAGTTTCACCAGTCAGGTGATGACGTAGCGGCTGGGCCAGTTGACCGTGAGGAAGGAGAAGAACAAACTAGCTGGGAATACGAACGACTGCAGCCGGGAATAAGGACTGCAGACGTAGTTGTGAGGAGGAGGCGACGGCCAGGAGACCGACTCCAACTCTTCAAGAGGTTGTGGAGGAGCACGGAGCCTGCAGAGGGAAGCAGTACGGAGAAGACGCGTTTTTGGGTGTTGGTGGAGGTCCTGGGAAGAGCATCAGTGTGTGTGGGGGTGTTCCCTACAGCAAGTCGTGAGCCGGGACCAGGAGCTTCAATTCAACCCTCAACAGGACGAGTCCACATCATTGATGGTGGAAGTAGGTAATTCAGTTTTCCCTCCCATTCCCCTTTAGTTAGCGATTAGCCAGAGTATCTTCTATGTCGTGAGCAGGGCTCACCAATGTCTATGATTCTAGTAAGACACAGTTGTGAAGGGAGATGCTATAGAGCTATCACGAGATATATATATGGTGTGTGATTGCACCTGTGGTTTGATGAAGAGATTACTGTGACGAGGACATTTATATTTACATGTCATTTATATTATAAGTTCGTGCCAGAGGATATATATATAAATGTACAATTTAGTAGTGTAAGGCTGCGTGCCTAGAGTTACCTTACTATTATGAATATTGATGAAATGAACTATATATACTGGAGTTATTAAATAACATATTCATATGTCTAGTGGTTAACTGTGATTATGCCAGTGTTGTGATATACTGTGAACATGAAGGAATAATAGGCGCCTCACGCCAATAGTGTGAGTATAGTGAGACAGTGAGGAGTGAGTGGGCGTGGCATCTCGCGAGTTGCCAAACGTTCGATAACACTGCATTTGGAGCGTGGGAACGCGCGACAGCTGGGAGTGTTGCCATTTCCCGGAGTGTTCCAGAATTGTGAAGAGGCGGAGAGAAGATTGCCCATTTATTCCTTTGACATGTTGTTGATGCAGAGTTGTGATTCTTTAATCTTTTAAGTAAACTACAAAACCACCGCCGTGTTTGTGTCAACCCTCCATTACTTTGTTGCTACTGAGAGTGAGTGATTAAACATATACTTACCTGTTACCAAACTGGTTAGTGTTCTCTTGGGCCACTACTACTACATTATTACTATTTCCACTGAGGTGTTACTGGACACGGGAAACACCAGTTGGCGACCTATAGTGAGCGGTAGAGCCCTCTGTCAGGGCGGGCACATGATCAAGTGAGGTGATCGTGTTCTCACTCGTCTTTAGGATACGAGGCCAGTTGGAGACAGACTGAGAGACTCTCCTGGTAAACAGTGACACCGTGAGAATTGAGTGAAGACTCGTGGGGCTGCAGTAAGTAACGATTACCACTACTAATACTTGGTGGTGATTGGCTAGAGAGAGAGAGAGAGAGAGAGAGACCACGCACCCTGACACCAGACAGAGGATGATAGACTTTGGAGAGTCTGGCACTGTATGAATGAAGTGATTGGAAAGTACAGAGATTTCTATGTACCAGCACAGAAGCTGGTGATTGATGAATCCTTTGTGCTTTTCAAAGGATGTGTTGCCTTCAAGCAGTATACTCCCTCCAAACACAACAGATTTGGATTGAAATGCTTTGTTCTTTGTGACTGTGAAACAGGATACGTGTTACA